CAGCTGCAGACCATGGTGACACCCCGACGCGAACTCCCCAACACTAAAGCAACAACCCCAAGCCGAGCACGCACAAGTTCACAAGCAAAATCGAAAACCACAAAAACCTCCCACCGTGGCAACATGCTCTTCACCTGGCATGTCGAAACTGATTGACATGTCATGGTGGGGAACACAGTAAAGTATATTTTTCGGAGGAAAGGGCGGTGTGTATTGTCTGGTAAAGCTTGATACAAGCGAAGAGCTCGTGCAAGAAGGATGGAGACTGTATAGTCCTAGATCCTAATTGGCTTCACTTTGGTGATTCTGTATTTTATGCTGCAGCTCATAAAAGCATTGGATTCTCGGATAGGCTGCCAAAGTGTGGGAAACATTGTGTGTGGCCGCGAGCCATGGAATTGCAATAGTGAGAACGGGTTTCCTGAGCTTCAAGTCCCCAAGTCCCCAAATCTAAGTAGATGGAACCCACCGCCGAGTCGGAAGCCCACCAGCTGCCAAAGTAGCTGCATCAACCGTTCCACGTTACCAAGCTTTAGCTCGGCTAAACCGCTAATCGTTAACAGTTTTTGTTGTGACTTTTTGCCATCACCCACTAGGTGAGTGTCTCTAGGGGTCTCTAGATTATATGATTGTGCTGCGGGTATCAGTCGCATGAAAATCTGTAGCATTGGTTGCTGCGAATCAAATTTTGAACTTGTTCCTTTGGTGCGAGCGCGATGCCACGCAAAACCAAAGCCGTGAAAAGTGATGTTCGCGGCGTGGTGTGGGACAAGACGGAGAATAAATGGCGTGTCCGCTTGGGTAAGGCGAGGATATTTGTGGCTGAAGTGCTATGATTGGTAGAGTTGGGACTCAAAACACCTGCTGGCGACATGAAAGATACGTTTCTCCGGCTAATGGAGGAACTACGACGAGGAATCCCGCGCAATCCCTACCCAGAACGGACGAAGAAGCAGCAGCCAGAGGAGACGCTGAAGAACGTGGAACCTGAGGAGCCAAAGTCCACCGCCACAGACGGTGCAAAATAGATTCATGTTTTGAACAATGCCTGGATAATGTGCGCAAAGGTTGGAGGCCATCCCTCTGACCAGTTCGGAAAAATGATGTGTTTGCAGACTGGCGGTGGTGTCGTATAGGTTGGAGGCCATTGTTAGTAGGTTGGGCGCCATTGTTAGTAGGCCATCGGTAGTAGGTTGGAGGCCATTGCTGCATCTAAGCAAGCGTCCATCCTGGGTCACTTTAGAACACACACAGACACGGATGGGGAGGGTTTAAAGATGAAGGATGGGGTGGGGTGGGGGGGGGGCATGGGTATATGAGCAAAGTACTAAAGGTCGGCATTCACGTTTCTACAAAAATGAGCAATTTGCATTTTCCTTGAAAAAACGATACCAATCCCAAAAACGATACCTAGCCTTGTGACGGTACACATCTTGGAATCTATCTTTGCCTATTGACACTGTTGACACTCGAGACAGTGTATGTCCAAGGTTTTTGTGTATATGGTTCGCCATGCTAGTTGGACATTCCATTTTGCTTTTGCTCATTTTCCCTTTTCTTTAATCGATGGGAAGCAATTACGGGTTTAGACTGATACCAAAAACGATACCAAACGATACCCACTTCATAGGTTTGTATCCTGTCAGAAGCCACCTGGCCACTTTCATGCCACTACTACTGCCACTACTTCTACTTCTGCAACTACTTCTAGCACCACCACCACCACCACTACTACTACAACTACTACGACCACGACTACCACTACTACCACTGCTACCACTACTACCACTACTACCACTACTACTACTACTACTACTCCTGCTGCTGCTGCTGCTACTGCTACTGCTACTGCTTCACTACTACTACTACTACTGCTGCTGCTGCTGCTACTACCACTTCTACTAGTACTAGTACTAGTACAACAACATTAACTACTACTACTATTACTACTACTGCTTCCGCTATCCAAACAAGCATCCAAGCTTGTTAGCTTACAGGGAATCCGATGAAGGCAAGGCGGAATGTGCCGAAGTACTCGGCAAACAGGGAAGCTGGAAGTCACAAGAGACAGTACTCAAGGCAACCGGCCGTTTCAAATATCTTTTAAATGCTGACTTGATGCTCCCAGATTCAGACAAGGCCTGGCACGAGCCTTTGGTTTGCACGGCTCGCAACTGGACTGACTGCAACGCTCACACCCGTTCCAAAACGGGCATGCTATCGAACCGATACCTCAAGAGGCCGACACACACCCCAAATAAGTTTGTTGTATACATGCAGGCATTGGTATAGGTAAGCGACAAGAGTGGTCGCTTTACCAACGCGGCTGGAAGCCGAGAACCATGCGCCTAAGTGCATTGCAGCCCAAAAGGTATCGGTTGACGATATGTCTAACACTCGACAACTAGATCAGACCTTGCACAGGCCGACGCAGCCCGCTCACCAGAGAACAACGAGGTAAACGAACGTCCACGACCTCGAAAGTGGAATCACACCTTCTACATGTATAGGAGGTGTTATATTCTTTGCGTCAGGGTTGATGAGCTGTGCCAAAAACTGGTGGCGATCACGGTATGCTTCGACCTGGCCAAGTGTGACCGTGGTACACACAGAACAAAATACATCAACAAAAACAAGCATATTGTACTCTATTCGCTTGGCAGATCGAATGGGGGTGGAGAAAGCGCAGCAAATGAAAGCTGCAACTATTAGCCAGCTGGTGGCCTTGAAGGTGTCAATCCACATATGTGTATATGTGAACTTCTGACGTTTGTATATGAAGGTTCCACTCGGAAGCAAGGACTTCCAGAATACCATGGCGCAGCTGCGACCCTACACTGGAGATGGGCTACATTCCCGGCTTGAGATGACGGAATGTGATATGTCATGCTGGAGTGATATATAGATCACACCAAAAGTATGTTAAACGCTATATTGCGAGGGAAGTAAACATTGCGTCACTGTGTAGGTGATCAACTGCCAGAGGCAGTACCCAGCCCCGCTACCAGTTCCAGCTCACTCCACTCCACTCCACTCCACTCCACTCCACTCCACTCCACTCCA